ATTATTATTTTGTCTTTTTTCTGTTGGCTATCTACTGTGTTTCGTCTGTGTCTGTTTCTGTCCCTGTCCCTTGTGTATGTGTATGGTACTGTCATTTTACTGTCATTGTCACTCTCTACCTCTGTCAATGTCACTGTTTCATTATCTGTCTCCGTCAGTGTCAGAGAGGAAGACAGATAAGTGAATACATAAATAGAGATATGCACAGACAAGTAAATAGATATAGAGCCAGACACACAGATAAATCAACAGACAGGCAAGAAAGCACACACACACACACACAATACACAGTACACGAACACGAGAGCCATCCACCTACGCCTCCAAAAGCAACTGGGAAAGTCCTCTTACCTGAAGACCCTCCTGAAGGCGGACTCCCTGGGCGTGAGGAGCTCCTCCGGGTCGGCGTGGATGGCGCACAGGACCAGAGGGACGCACTCGAGGGGGTCGTGTCTCGCGGCCGCGGCGAAGGGCTGGCGGAGGAAGTCTGCTCGACCCGACTCCGGGCTTCGGCGCCCTCGCAGAAGGCGGACTGGAACGAGAGCGAGGCGAGGCCGTGTGTGTACGTATATAAAGATAGATAAAGGAAGATAAGAGAAGGAGAGAGGGGAGAGGGGAGGGAGGGGGGGGGGAGGAGAGGGAGGAGGGAGGGAGTGAGTGAGGGAGGGAGGGAGGGAGGGAGGGAAGAGGGAGAGGGAGAGAGAGAGAGAGAGAGAGAGAGAGAGAGAGAGAGAGAGAGAGAGAGAGAGAGAGAGAGAGAGAGAGAGAGAGAGAGAGAGAGAGAGAGAGAGAGAGAGAGGGGGGGGGGAGATGGAGGAAGAGGGAGAAGAGAGAAAGAGAGGTAGATAGACAAAGAGAGAGAGATGGGGTGGATTTATAGAGAGACAGAAAGATGGACATAATCATTTATATACATTGTGGGAAAAATCTGGATATGATTTGCATAAAATAAAATAAATCATTCTATGCAAGGCAATATGACCTTTTCTCTGTCTTAAAGAGAGAAAAAGGGAGGGGATTAAGATCTATGTATTCTTTCATTTTCTCGCCTCCGCTTGTCGTCGAGTCATAACTTGAAACTTATGTATCCCATAATTTAATTTCCCTGAATATTTCTTCTTATTCACTGTTGCTTTTATTGCTGGATAAAAAGGAGACAAGCTGAACACATTTATTCCGACAGCTGGTATAAATACGAACGGGGACAGGACAAACACATTAATTCCGACAGCTGGTATAAATACGACCGGGAAAAACGTAATAATGATATTGTACTTTACATTCCGTACATTTAGTCAAGAAAAACATACGTCTTGTGTTTTTTTAATAGTAGTAGAAAAATAGCTTGTATCGTCGCCATGTTTTACTTGCATGTTTACAGTTAAACAAGCAGTTACCTTCCATTTAAATGAGATTCACCGCGATGAAGGTAAAAAGGGAATGAGAAGGATAGCATATATCGCAGTAACAGTCCTTCTTTTAACTTGTGATGTTTCCTGTGTTCCTTGGGCGTGGAAGAAGAAGAAGAAGAAGAAGAAGGGAGGAAGAGGTAGATATAGAGGGAGAGCGAGGGGTAGAGGGAGAGAAAAAAGAGAGAAGAAAAAGGAAATAACAGAGAGGAAGGGGGAGAAGCAGTGATTGAGAGATGAAGAAGGAAATGGAAATGGAGAGAGAGAGCAATCATCGCTTCCATATTAAATCTTTTAATGGCATACGCTGTCTGAAATCGCCGGCAGGAAGCCAAGGGCCCGCGCGGATCCCCCCCCCCTCCCCCTCCCCCACTCACCCAGCGGCGCGTCGGCCCTGAGGAGCGGCGCGCCACCGACCGCCGCGTCACCACCTGCAGCTGCATCGCCGGGTTCTGGTCGCCCTGAAGCAGCGTGTTGTTGACGGCGGCGGCGATGATGCTGGCGATGGCGGCGGCGATGGCGTTGGCGGCGGCCACGGCGGCGGGGATGGCCGTGCCGAGCGACTGGCCGATGGCGGCGCCGACCGACGAGAAGAACCACCAGATGGCGCTGACGGCGAGCGAGCCCAGCTGGGACACCGCGGTGCCCACGGCGCGCCACACGAAGTCGCGCATGCCGGGGATGTAGTCGTGCGTCAGCGCCTGCGACACGATCTCCGTGCCGCCGCCCAGCAGCAGCGACTGGGCGGGCGCGAGGGCGGCCTGGCTCACGCGGTCGCCGATCTTCGCGGGGGCGCCCCACAGGTAGTTGCCGAAGAAGTAGCCGACGACGAGCTCCAGGAAGCCCTCCGAGGGACCGACGGCCGCCAGGAGGACGACGCCCGCGGCGAGCAGGCGCCTCAGCTGGGGCGGCCTCATCGTCGTTGTGCAGCTGCGTGAGGTAGATGGAGGGCGCGGCGGGCGAGACTTTACATGGTTCGAGGCGAGTCTTTCACTGGGAAGGTCGAGGGAATTATGTCTCGCTGAATGCGTTTCCACTTTTATCTTTTATCTTACACCTCAACATAAACCAGAATAAGAAAAAAAAAAATC